CAATGTATTATCTCAATTGATCTTGATATTTTAGACTGACCGGAGGCCGTATTTCTACAACAGCGACTATGAGAGTCATACCATATGTTCATACATTGTATCATACATACTTGCCTTTTTTGAAAAAAATAATATTATTATCCCTATTGCATGCGTCTTTTTTTTTGCGAATATTATCCCTATCGCATGCGTCTTATTTTTTGCAACTAACGCATGCGTCTTATTTATGCGACTATTGCATGCGTCTTATTTTTTGCGACTATTGCATGCGTTTTCCTTATTTGTTGCATACATTCGTGTAGGGAGGAAGTCAATAGGGAATCCATTATAGACTTGACTGGGCCACCATTAGGGCGTCCAAAGTCAGATGTAGAATTGCAGCATAAGGACAGTGAACAGACCATAGTAAAAAAGGAGAGGCTGGCGCAACTACCTTTAGCACCCGGATTCTTGAAAGGTGGGCAGGAGAAAGATGTGGCAAATTTGTTGTCGAACGTAGATCCGGACTTGATAAAACAGATACAAAATATAAGGAAGTTAGCGGGTACAACAGTCATCGCAGATCACGGTTGGGAAGAGGAACTATCCGACGAACAAGTCTATGAGAAGGAACCCTCGATAGATTGGGATGGTGATATATCTTATGGTGGTAGTGACAGTTACAGTTCATTTTTAGATTTGAATGATTTCGATATGGATTTGGATTTCGATGGAAGTGCACACGTCGATGATCGAGGGTCTGGAGAGGAAGAAGAGCATGATGCTCCTAGCCCCCAGGCCGATAGTCGCAGTGGGGAGGATTCCGGTGACACAGATCCAGATATTGACCGTCGCAGACTATGGCCAAAATTGGTGCAGGACATCACCGCTTGGAACTCTGCAATAACGCGTGAATTCAAATTTAGACCAGATAACAATGACAAAAAAATGTGTTTTTTTGGGAGATGGTGTTTCACCAGCACAGACACCATGGCTCTACAGTTGGCTCAAGATCTTGCACCGAATCATGGGATTCTGGTCACCAGTCAAAATATTTCGAAACAGGGCAAAGCAGGTAAGTTGGTGAAGTTGATTATCATATTACATGCTTCTTGTAAACGAATCTATACCTGCGTCTGTTCTGCGTCTGTCCTGCGTCGTATAGATGCGTCTTATATATGCGTTTTATATATGCTTCTTATATCTGCGTCTTATATGCGTCTTATATGTGCGTATTGTATATGCGTTTTATATATGCGTCTTATATCTGCGTCTTATATATGCGTCTTATATATACGTCTTATATATGCGTCTTATATATGCGTCTTATATATGCGTCTTATATATGAGTCTTATATCTCGTTTTATATATACGTCTTATATCTGCGTCTTATATCTGCGTCGTATATATGCGTTTTATATATGCTTCTTATATCTGCGTCTTTTATATGCGTCTTATATATGCGTCTTATATCTGCGTCTTATATATGCGTTTTATATCTGCGTCTTATATCTGCGTCTTATATATGCGTCTTATATATGCGTCTTATATATGCGTCTTATATATGCGTCTTATATATGCGTCTTATATATGCGTCTTATATCTGCGTTTTATATATGCGTCTTATAGATGCGTCTTATATATGCGTCTTATATCTGCGTTCTATATATGCGTCTTATATATGCGTCTTATATCTGCGTCTTATATATGCGTCTTATATCTGCGTCTTATATATGCGTCTTATATCTCCGTCTTATATCTCCGTCTTATATATGCGTCTTATATCTGTGTCTTGTATATGCGTCTTAACCGAGTATCGTCTTTTTTATTTTAAACATTCATAAAGTGTAGCAGATCTGGTCACCCACTGGAGGCTCAGAATGAGAAGAGACGCGAGGATTCAAAAGTTGCAAATGAAAATCTATCACCACAAAGGCGTTCTAGAGCATCAATCAAGTGCGGTTGCAAGTTTGTGGTTCAAATTTATATGTTATGACCTCCTATGAGTAAGCTTTGCTAACATTTCATATAATAAGCTCCTTGCGACCATTATTATGTGCACGATAACTGTACACTTGCTAAATTATCAATTTATTTACATCATATGTATGTTAGATTAATTTGCTGCATACAAAGCCACCAAAAGGGAAAGTGGGTGTTGAATTCAAAAAGGGCACAAAGTACACTGGGTGGGTACGACCAGGGTACCGCTTCTTTAGGCACACAAACGGATGTCATCCTAGTGATATTCAAGCTGCTGCAGCACATACAGCGAGTGGTAAACTATTCAGATTCGACGCCTTCGGGTTACAGGTAAGTACGTTAAACCTATTGTATATTTTGGGATAATGTCGTTTTATCTATTATCAATTATCATAATCCACTAATGTAAATCCTCCATTACCTTTACAGACTAAGAATACTCTTCTTACTTTGTCGACACGTCATTACGCCACCAAAAAATTCAAGAAGACTCTTATGAAGTTGTATCCAAATAATGTGGTCATCACTGCGCATACCGTCAGAAATATCAAACTCGTATGTTAATGACTCGTATGTTAATGCACAGTTAAAAAATATGATATCTGCGCGTGTCGCCTGCGTCTTATATTTGTGACTTTCGCTTGCGTCTTATATTTATATCTGTGCGTGTCACCTGCGTCTTATATCTGCGACTTTCGCCTGCGTCTTATATCTGCGACTTTCGCCTGCGTCTTATATCTGCGTCTTATATCTGTGACTTTCGCCTGCGTTTTATATGATCAAATGGGGAGTAGAAACTGGTGAAAGTAAAAATATTTTAGGCGACATGAGGACTGCCTTGCCGGGGTTTTATGAGAGATCCTCGCCGTTTGCAGAGAATGAACGGATACCTGATGATGTTATAAATGAATTTTTGAGAATGCGGGAATGTGAAGAAACAATGAACGCGTAAGTATCCGGGTTGCGTGCCATCGTATAGTAATAAAGTTTATGAAGATTCGATAATTTTAAAGTTTAGTCTATTTTGAGTGTGCCCGCGTCTTGTGCCTGCGACTTGTGCCTGCGACTTATGCCTGCGACTTAACCTTTTATTTAATCTGTGCCGCTTTCCTTGTACAGAACCGACTTTCTTGACTGGTTCCAATTTGCAAAGACACGGGATCCTAATTTGTTTGTAAGTAGATATGTCGACCAAGTGACGGGCACCTTGAAAGGTCTATTTTATAACAACTATACAATGAGGCAATCTTATGCCAAATACGGAGGTATTGTGTGTATGGACACTCGACACAAGGGTAACAATACCTGGGGCTGGCAATTGGCCATTATGGTAGGACCGGGAAATGATGGCATAATCATACACTTTGGTGTTATGTTATTCTATATGGAAACTAAAGCCACATATAAGTTTGCTCTCGATAGTTTACCGAGATCTTTGAGTCTTGGGCCAGGGGCGCCACTCAAGACGACAGTCGTGTTTGCTGACGGGCTCCTTAGTCAGGCGGTTGTAAGTCCAGGGCAGTTCTTCTTCTCGGACAGGTATCATATCAAGCAAAACATTCACAAGAAATTGAAAGGTCTCTAAAGTGGTACTTTCAAGGATGAGATTCTCGCAGCCCTAAGTGCAGCAACAGGAGAAAGTTGTACAAGGCACTTTGAAGCTGAAATCCGGACTCTGGAATCTAGAGATGCAGACTTGGCTGCAACTTACATTGCCAGCCTCATGCGAATATCAAGACATCTTGCTGGTTGGGGGCTGAACGATAAACTGACTTTGGGACTCAAAGGCTCCCAGATGAGCGAGTCCACACATGCGCAAGTCAAAAGTTGGTTTAAGAACTTGCGACTGGATCCGCTTACCCTCATCAATGGCATTACAGATATGTGTAGCTTGACCCTAGTATCGCGCAGAAAAAAGAAGTTCAACTATGCAATGGAATACGGGTTGCCATTCGAAGACAAGCCGGCGAAACCAAGAAAATCTGAACCTCCACACATTGAAAAATGTCGCATGTGGGGATCTCGGAGATGCACGGAGAAGTTTATCGAAGAGGAGACCCTTAGTAAAGAATACCCAGTCCATCTTATTCCAGGTGTTAGAGATGGCCCTCCGGTTTACCAAGTCTTTCGCATTGAACTTGCGACTGGACCCGAACGCCATGTGAGATACTACCATGATGAAAAGCGGTAAGAATTGACTTGAATTTAGTTGTACGCACGCTTAAGTGGCAGACACAGGACGCAGGCATAAGACGCAGGCATAGGACGTAGGCATATGGCACAGGCACGAGTCGCACGCTAACGACACTACTGAAAATTTAATTTTTGTTATTATGTTATTATGTGTCTCCTTTCTGATATCGGTTACACTAAAGCTGCTCACATATTTTGGTTTTAGGTTGACGTGCACTTGTAAAGACTGGTTCAACTATGGGATGCCTTGCAGACACATACTTGCAGTGTGCACCCGCTTGGACTACCCGTTATTCGAGGTGCCTTGTTTCCATGAACTTTGGAAATTCGACATTGAGCAACCCCCTGAGAATGTTTGCTCCCATATCGACGCGGAAGGCTACGACAATTCTGCGTAAGGAGGCATGCAAAATGATGATGTGATATTTGAGGATATGCAGGGGCTACGAGTACTAAGGCCACGGGCATGAAACATACAAGTGGTAGGTATACATCATACACGGACGAGAATTTCACCGAGTAGCAGGAACTGTGCTCTGGTGTATACGGTGGTGCACGTAATAATGGTCAGGTGCAGTTCCTTAAAGAACTAACAGAAGTATTGGGCCAGATGTTCCAGAAGCTCAACGATACAGCTCACGGTCAGGATATATTTGCCGCTATAGGCAAGAGTTTATTGAGATACTCTGCGTTACAACGAGGGGAAGAAGGTCCTCCTAGCAGTCTTTTCGAGGACCCCGAGACCGTACCACGTCAGCCTGGAGGACAACAAATCAAACGTATGCATGGACCGGAGAGAAAACAGCAGTCGAAGATGAAAAAGCAGAAAGTAGAATCAGCCGCCGAAGCTGCTCCGGATGAGCCTGCCGCCGAAGCTGCTAAGGATGAGCCTGCCGCCGAAGCTGTTAACGATGAGCCTGCCGCCGAAGCTGTTAACGATGAGCCTGCCGCCGAAGCTGCTAAGGATGTGCCAACCGATGATCTTGATAAGCTAGCCGCGGATACGAGTGCAGATAGTGTTGTTTTTTATTGGGATTTGACGGCAAGGGGAGAAAGTAAAGAACACGCAGGAGACTCGACACTATTATATACTACACATAACGACCAGGATATACCTGCAGATGGCAAAAACAACTTGCTAAGGGAGAGTCATCTGCAGGTCACTCATTTAGTGATAAGTCTGCACCACGTAATACCACCTCCACCTCCACCTCTACCTCATCGAGCTCCAGCGGTAACGAACTGCTGCCAGAGTAAGGACAAGTCAACGACACTTATTCCAGGATGTAAATCAGCAAACACAAGGTTCACAATCGGTGCAACAACGCAGTAACGTGTCGAAGCCACGTGTTTGTGGGACTTGCGGAGAGGTGGGTCATCATGGGGGAAAGTCTCGCACATATGTACGGAAAAGGGGGACTCTTCTAACGGCCTCGGAACGCAAACATTGGTGGAATGCAGTCCATGAATTCCCACCAAACTTCCCATTCTTGCAAGTAAACGTGGCAGACGGCCCTATGTCTCCGTGCAAAGGGGGCAAATGTATAGTGATTCAAAATTTCATCTCCACAAGCCTTTGCATTTCAGATCCAACGGCCCTCTTCCATCCTCTAGTTTCTCATCTTCAATTCTCTAATTTCTCATCTACCATGCTCCAATTTCTCACCTTCCATCCTCTGATTCATCATTCAACGGAATGGCCTTCAATTCTCTGATGGCACATCCAACAGATCTGCCTTCCATTCTCTGATTTTACATCCAACGGATCTGCCTTTCTTTCTTATACAACGGTCCATTACACATTTCCAGTAGCATTCCGTTCATGCTGTTCAGTGAGTCTGTGAGTGCATACTAGTAATATATGCCGGTGAGACAGGGAATGACACCAATTTAACAATCGGAATGATATATGAAAAAAATATACCATACCCGTACGTCACAAGCTCTTCTTCCTTCCTTGCATACTCAATCGACAAATCTGATAAGGGTGGAAACATTAAAATAAATCATTTATGAGTATATGAGCCATGTTTATGAATTACCATTTTTTTGTTGATACATTCTTCCGACAGACAATGAATAGTACATACCTAGCTACACAAAGCCCATGTGCCACACCATGCCGGTTCATTAGTGGCACATCGTTCTTTCTCATTCAATAATGACAAATAATTTCAACGGCATATCCCTTTTATATATTTATCTCTTTCTTTAATTTGAAAGGGTGTCGGTTGCACGGTAGGTATTTATAATAATACTATTACTACTCTGTCACTCCGTTACTCTGTAACTCTCTCCGTAGGTACGACAATAAAAGCATTTGTGAGGGAGGCATACTTACTGGTCGCAGGAGAGAGTCGCAGGCATAGTGGTCGCAGTCGAGAGTCGCAGGCATAGGGATAATATTATTTATTTAATCGCAATCGAGAGTCGCAGTCATAGTGGTCGCAGTCTTAACAAATCTCTACATAATTACATAGTCATATATTTACATACTCACTCACTTCAGGTTGTTGGGCCCGTTCCATTATCCAATTTTTCGACCCCATATATCTTCGGATTATCGAATTTAAGGCACTTATTTTTCTGAAATTCGATAATTCGAGATATCCATTCCATCAAAAAAAAATCCCATAAGTAGAGATTGAACTTTTGAAAAATAGAAAATAACTCTAAAACCCCCTATTTTGCACGAATTATATATTTTTGAGATCTGGCGCCAGTTTGATTATTTGTCTTTTACCAAAACAAAAACCCAAAAAATACATTTATCAAATTCGACATCGAATTGCTACCGAAGTCCCTATCGAATCGAGAGGGACCTCGGTGGATATTCGCCTATTCGGTGGTCGAGTTTCCAATATCTGCCTTTCTTGACAAATATTCGACCCAAAATCGATAATTTAAAATATATACTTGAAAAAATCGATGAGGGAACGGGGCCCTATTAGTGCCGAAAACATGTCAAAACATGAGGGACATATGTAGTGTCAATATTTAGTTTGCGCTCATAGAAGTAGCCCTCGTTGTAATCGTCTAATCTCTCTAGTAGTAGAGTAGAGAGGGGCAGAGGGCTATGTTACAAAAGATGCAATACAACAGGTGGAACGCGCAAAGTATATATGTGTTTACAGCCGTCAATCGAGCGTCAGCCGCTGCAGTCAGGAAGTCAGCCCTCGACCTCCCGGCTCGGGCTCGGGGGCTCGGGGCTCAGTCCTCATGCATATGCTCACCCTCGCCCTAAAGGCCTAAACCCTAAAACCTACTTTTGATTAAAAAAACGTTTGTTTACATCAAGAGACCGGCTGAATAATTTTGTTTTTTATAGATTACACACAAAAAAATCAATTTCGCAAACAGCCGATCCCTCGGAAGTCGGAAGGATGAAAGTACGATTTATATATTTTTTTTAATACTAATTAGTATGTAATTAGGCTAATATATTTTTATTTGTTTTTTAATTATTGTGGCCTATCGCCCTATCGGCGGGTCTATCATATGTAAATATATTTTTCAAAACAATGTTTTTTTTTTTTAGTAAATATGTAAAGAACCAATATATACTAAATATGAATAATGGAGTTCATTCTTCTTGGTTGAAATGAATCGTTCAAAAGCTCATGCTTCCGCTAAGTTCACCTAGAGGCACAAGTTTGTTTCTGAAAGTACAGATACAGTTGCAGAATTTTTATTGTCAATCCAGAATATTACTTTAAGCTTTAGTGAGAAATTTTTAGGGGCTAAGCGTTTCTGCGGTCCATACAAAGATGTTGTCAAGATATTACTTTCACGAACAGATTTACCAAAGCAAAAACGAACTTAGAGATAAGGTAAGGTTGTTTATGGCTCGTTGCTATTTCGTTGTATTCACAGAGCGGTTATGATTGGTATATTTAATAGAGATATATTTTTAACATTGAAGCCAGGGCCTCCATATGCAATTTCTGCCGGAATTAATGCATTCATGTAGTATGCTCGAGTCTCCCGTCGAGCAATCGCCCGCCGAGCAGCTAGCGTAAGATGTGCAATCTGTGCTACAGGACTCCCTGTTAGAAAGTTTCGTTTCGCTCAAGGATAGTCCAGTGATTATTTCTTCTGAGTTGGGTTGGTTCAAGACTTTCCTCTCATCTCTCTTGAAAAATCTAGAGTTGCTGTTTCGAAAGCTCAGCTTGACCTTTTCAACATAAGGACTCACCATATGTTTATGTCTAGCTGGCAGGTATTTCATGTAGTGACCATACTTTTTGACCCGCATGTGAACGAGCCACACATGCCTTTCTATGTTGATTCTTTTCGGTGATTTACTTTTACAGTCACCGACCAAGCAAAAATACATCGAACTGGACTTGCCCATTGTTCCTGCTTGATGATTGTTGTGTTTGATGATTGTGGTGCTTGATACTTTAATCGCCAGGCTTATATAGAAATTTAAATTAGGTACATTTATAAACAGTATGTGTTTATATTTTTGTATTTGTGATTTTGTGTAGCTAAAATGAGCTCACGCCTCACAGGCTCACGGCCTCGCCTCACGCCTCTTTGATTATTTGAAGCACGCTAAGAGCTATATATTATATTACCGGAAGTATATAGAGAAATCCTAAAAGCGCCTTCAACCGGGAGGCATATTGTTTTGTAATAGCTCGTTGTTACTACTCTAGAGAGTAACTTTAACGAGGTTGAGCAGAAATTACTAAATTAGGGAGGATAATTCGTTAGGAGCCCATACAGAGCTCTGTTATATTTTCTACGACATAAAAAATTATTACGCCTTAGATAGCTGAAGGCCTGAAGCCTGAAGAGATTGAGGGCATCCCTGAGGGCTGAGAGGCGAGGCCAGAGTCCTGAGTCCTGAGGCCTGAGGCCCGAGGGCTCACTCATCACTGGTTGGTCAGGACTCAGGAGTGAGGAGAGTCTGAGTGTGAGTGAGGACTCAGGACTTGTGAGTCTGTACTGAGTACTCTGTAGTGACTCGTTGAGTGTCGACTGTCGAGCTAGCCTCATTATGTTTCCCGCTAAAACGCAAAAAAGAAAAAAGAAAAACCGTTTACGTTCAAAGTTTCTCCTTTAAAATATTGTCCTAAGGGTTTACAAATTGGTACATATCAAATTTGGAGAAAAAAATCCATGGTCGATTTGCCCCCGATATACTTTCAAACGCTTTTCATTTTAAGCTCCCCTTTTTGCGTTTACGTTTAAAATTATCGCGTATAGGCAAAGTCAAAACGTATTCAGCTTAGCTGTCGAGTGTCGACTGTCGAGTGTGGAGTTGACAGTTGTCGAAATGTCGACTGATCACGAATCGACTCACGACTCTCACGAGTCACGACTGTCGACGACGGGTGTAGACCGTAGAGTGTAGAGTGTAGACTGTAAATACATAGTGTGCAGACTATTCACTATTGGCAGTTTGAAATATTTGTAGAGTATATGTTGGACACTTGACAAACAGTCAGACACTTTATGGTTGATAAATTGATATTTTTACTCTTAATTTATTTATTTTTACAAAAGGACGTTGTTTCACTTGTTTGACTGTTTATTTTTTGTGTTTTGTTTTACAAAAAATAAAACGACATATATATTTATTTGCAGTGGTCTTTTATTTTTGTTTTTGTTTTTTAAACAAAACATTCATATGTCTATGGAATTTGTTTTTAATTTGATTGTTTTTTTTTGTCCTTGAATACCATGTCTCTCCAGGTTAATTTTCTTTGGTGATTTGGCTGGGCACTCGCCTGCCAGGCAAAAATGCATCGAAGTGAACGTACTCATGGTGATCGAATTGATGTTTGTGAATGACAATTGCCCGATTCGTCACGCTTATATAGAGACAATCTATCTGAAGTTGGCATGCGTCAAATGACTGTGGAGTAATAATGTGTTAATATACAGAACAGTACTTATATTTTCATCAAAAATCGAAGATAAGAAATATGTTCTTCAAGATTATTTATTCCGCTAAAATGGAAAGGACATATCTGTATACACTCGCTAGCATATTTTACCTTTTTCCTCTATCATTTGTTGGGGCAAAATATACGCCCACCACAATAAACAAAATGGGTTGTGCATATTCTTTAACACAAAAAAATCGTTCTTCTATTCGCTTTTGTTTTCTTTGTTTTGTTTTAAATAAAAGCTGACTTTCTAATTCCCAGCCTGGCAGCTATTTACCAGTTCCAGGACCCAGAATCCCAGACTCACTAAATACTATTACCGGGTCACCAATGAAGGCGGTCTAACAAATACATAAATACAAACTCAGTCTCAGAGTCGCAGAGTTGTATCAGGCTCCACAGCGGCCCCGCCCCAGGTACGGGAATGTAAGAA